TTAAAATAAAATTTACAAAATATAAATTACATTATTAATATCATTCTATTGTTAATAATTATTAAAATATTAGAAGATTTTCCTATAGTATGACAATTCAACAAATGATGCAAGAAAGTCAGGTGTTTATAATAATAACCAAGTTTTTCTATTGCTTGTCAAACAATCGATTCAGGATATATTTCTAAAGAACACTTGAGGAAAGTGATTCATTCTTCCTGGATATTGCCCGATATATGATTTTCACATTCATTTCAAAATACATTGATAAAGATACAATCTTTTTGATGTATGCGCGCACATATAATAATCATATGAAACTATATTTTTTATAAGATAATTAGTAATTACATATAGTATTAATTACGCCAATCAATTTCTACGATCTCTTAAACAAAAATAAAACAAAAATTGTCAAATATGTTATACAAAAGGATCAGTGATATATTTTACGTATAATAGTTAATAACTATACGTTAATTGTACGTTATATTAAAATATTTTAGATGAAGGAGGAACAAAAGATTATTGTCAATAAGGATATTCGAGAATTTATCATGATCTAGATTAAAAATAATGTAACAAATTTTTTAATAAAATAATGATAAATAAGAAAAAGAGAAAGAAGAAGAGAATTATTAATAAAAAATTATCAATATCAATACTTTCTCCAGCTAATGATCATTATAATCACTAGAGATCTTTAAAGTGTGAATTATTCTCGAGCACGTGCTAATATCTTAATGAAGTATTCTTACGTTAGATTTTATCGATATTACGATTTTAGTATAGCATGCTTCGAGTACGTTCACGTCGAATGTGAATGAAGCTTAAAACATCGTCGTCGAGGACGACGACAACGATGACAACGACGACAACGACGACAACGATAACGCTTCGGCTTTAGGCTAGCTGCGCCGTTTACACGGCATTAGAACTCCATGCGTCACGCTCGGCGTTCCAGTTTAACTCGCGCCTTCTCGGAGCGTGTTTCGCTTCTTCGCTGACAGCTTTTTTAAAAAATCGCGGATAATGTGCAATCATAAAGCATTAACTGAATCATCTTAATCGAGAAATTTCATCTTGTTGTGATCGTTGAAAATCAGATATATTAAAAAATAAATAATAAATATTTCTCGTTTTTCTTTTTCTGTTTTTTTTTCTTTTCTTTTTTGATTTTCCTTATTTTTTTCTTTTTTTTTATGAAAGTGAATTAAGTTTGACAGTGTCAAGTATTAGTAAATTCCAAAAAAACAACGTACATTTGTCAACAATTTACAATTAGTGATTGTTTTGGACAAATAAACGTAACGTAACGTGATTAAGGTATGCTTGAATGATTATTTATACTTTTTTTTTCTTTCTTTTTTTCTTTTTTTTTTTTTTTTTTGTATGAGTTAATTCTATTAATATTTCGCAATTAGTACATTGATAATTGTTATTGCTTCTAGTCGCCTGAGATTAACTTCGTTTGTTCGTAAGATTATAAAAATTATGAAAATTTGATAGTATCGTGTGATCGATAACACGTGGGTGTTATGAATGAGAACAAATTCCAATAGCATAGGTCAGGTATACCTACGATCGAAGGAATTTTAAAATATTTACAAGACGTTATTTATGAAAACGAGTAGGCTCTATTTTTTTCTTTCTTTTTCCTTTTCTAAATTTCTTTGAAAAGCATACGATATCCGGCAACGATCGTCAAACACATAATTAGTACGCTTTAGGATATTTTATATAACGTTAATGTATGACTATTCTCATAATTTCCATGAAATTTCGTAAATTTCATGGAAAACAGGATTACGTTATCGACGTTATCTTAAACTAGTTTCCTTTCGTTTTTTATTCACTTTCGATAATACCTACTTTACCTCCTACGAACAAACTCGTTTTTTAATATAGCAAGCTAGATTTAGAACGCGTTATCAACAGTTCAACGCAATACCCTTTCCAAATGTCGAACTATAGATGATACAAGTGCGTTGAAAATAGTTGTTCAAAGAACAAATGAAAAATAGTACGTGTAAAAGTATAATATATCTTTTAATTATTATAATTAATTCGCAATATTGAGAGAAAAAAAAAAAAAAAAAAAAGATTTTGATTAAGATACGCAAAATGAATAAAATTTTTTAATGTAACAAAGATATGATATAAATAATTAAATTGAATTTTTTTATATACATCATATGAACAATTTAATACGAAACTCATGAAGACAGACATAAACATGCAATTTCACTGCTTTTTTTACCCTCATTTATTTACCCTTTTTTTCAACCCCAATGTAATGATGTTTATCATTGTGTATGTCGTAGGGCACACTATTCTGTTCTCGCAAAGGTGTAATAAAAGATATTGATCGTCGTTAAAGGTAGATCTAGTATTTCTTCAAGCTGGGCGACAGTAGGGGAAAACATCGCAGGGTCAGAATGGCCGACGAAAATCAACGAGCAACTCAAGTTCCCAAGGAGAACAAAATCTCAAAACATGTTACCATTTTTTTTAAAGTGATCGAAATTGTGAGTATATACTTGTATATATAATATATATGTACATATATATATATACCAGCTATACATTACAATCGATCGATCAAAAATATTGATTAAAAAAAAATTTAATAAAGATAATAAAAGAAAAAGAAAAGAAGAAAAAAATTGACAGAGTACATTTATATTCACAGATTTTAGCCATCTTCGCGATTGGTCTTTTAGTTGATCCTTTAAATTCGTTTCAACGAGTCTTTAACAAGTCACGATTTAAATTAGACGATGCAGCATTCATTTATGTAACAGTCGCTGGTTATATTATGATAAATTCTCTTTTTATCATATGTCATTTGCTGGGCGATCGATTACCAAAAAGAACGGTAAGTGTTCTATAAGAAAATTTTTCAATCGTTTGTTCGTCAAAATTCTATATACCCGTGTTTCGTAATTATTGTTCAAAAAATGATATCGATATTAATTATAATAAGACATATAGATAAACATGTATTATAGTATGCAAAGAAATATCTATTTTTTTGATTCGTTTATACAGCTGACTCATTATTAAAGTCACGACGTATACGATAATAATTACAAGCCACATCAAGGTATTTAGAAGTAACATCTTTCCTTCATGAGTATGCACCCAGATGTAATAGTATCGGTACATGCTTAACGGATGATTGAAATTTGTTATAACGTAATATGCAAACCTTGTTGTTTGCGATATTTCGTATACCATTTAATTCACACACGAAATTCACTAGTTATCCGTCACGGTTTAATTTGATTTTTACAACATGTCCGATTAATTATTCAAATGATATCAACGACCAAATGGTTTTTTAATTTACATGATGATGAAATGTTTTTTCTTTTCCTTTTTCTTTTTTTTTTTCGTTCGAAGAAGAATACATAGAGAAAATTTTTCGTATATGTACGTATGTATGGAAAGTTTTTGAATAATTTTTAAAATAATCTCCACGAATACAGGAAAAAAGGAAAATTAACATTACGATATAAAGTATTTTTATGATTGCAATCATACATACTTAATGAGACGTAATAATTCATATAACAACTAACACATTAATCTATGAGAATGACTTTTCTGATTACGTGTTTGAAAATCGTAATCGATCTTACGTGACTTGGTTTTATAAGCAATTGAAGAATTTTATTTAAAAATCGTTTTAATTTTGTTGATAAAACAATTTTAATTTCTATAATAAAATTTTTATTTATAATTTTTATTTATCTTTTTTTGCTTTTTTTTTTTTTTAATTTTATTTTTTACAGATGATACTATTTGCTTCATTGGGTGCGATTCTACATATAATAGCGGGTAGCCTAATCGTTCACAACTGGCGTACTATTCAAAGGCCCCACTACCACATGCAAAATAACGAATTATATCCGAGCAAACAATACATGGACATGTTAATATCTTCTTCAGTTTTCGTCTTTATAAATGCTTTGACTTTCGTTGTGGAAATTTGTTTGATTCTAAAATATTCAACGAGAACATGAGAATCTACAAGAATGGATGATCAGCTCGAACGAAAGTATTATTCTTGAGGCATAATAAATCAATAATATTTATCAATAAATAATAAATATTCATCGATAATTTAAAAGAAAGATTTTCTGATCAAATGGTTATCTGAAAGGTAAGAATTACCACCGATTGTGTTCGTAAAAAAAATATTATTGATTTCACAGATCCATTTCTATGTTCAGATCCATATGTAATTTCTAATCGATTGTGTCTTATCAATCAATTAAATTAACTTTAATTTTTATAATATTATTACATTTGTCGTCTGCACGCAATGTTTGGGAATATAAATGTAATTTAGAGTTCTCAGATTTTAAATGATTTTTCGAAAGAAAAACATTATGAATATTTACGTATATATAATGCTGAAGCCCAAAGTTTATATAATATATCTTGTAAGAAATCTTAATGTTACGTAATTAATTAATATGCATAGATACGTATACAATTATAAGCAATGAATCCGTCCATATATATTAATGATAACAATGATAATTCATAAAATAGTGTAGTATTTACAAATGAATATTTTATACGTATTATCAAAGATTATATAAAACATTTATATGTAGAACATTAGAAAAGAAATTGCTATCGTTTATAATTCTTTAATATTCACTATGTTATTATTATATATCAAATTGTTTAACATAGCAGCACCTTGATCACTTGTACAATTAAATAATAGGCAATTTATATTAATATACTTTCAGTTTTCACTGCGTTAAGTAATTATTATCAATAATATGTATGATATAGTTGAAACAATAAAATTACATAAAAAGAAAGTTATATATCGATTATATTCAGTTATCTTATGTACAGTACGTCAGTTTTAAATGTATACACGGGATTATTAAAAATCGTAATCATTAAAAATCTAAAAAATATTGCAGATGAATGTTATCAATGTCAACTTGTTCCTATTGTCTCTTTGAAATTAGCATGAAAGCACACAAACTCCGAGTAACTTTTCTGCTGTGTAGATCGATTAACGTTAATGAAGAGGCTACACCAAATTTGAAGCTGGCACGTGTAAAATACATGTGTGGGTATTGTTTTGAAAACAGTTAGATATTAGTTATAAAAATATATAATGACGAATATAAGATTCCATTTAAAAATTTATATGTATATTTTACAGGTTACCGAAAAATTTAATAATTATCACTATGACGTGACACTACATTTGTGTAAAATATTTTTTCTATTTTTAATACTTAGAATAATCGAACATATATATATATATATATATATATATATAAACCAGATATACTGTATATATGCTGTTATGAAATAATATCGATCATGTGATGATCCTGATTTTCTACTGTATTCAAGTCGATCTAAGAAATTTTAATCGGATATGTTCGATTATGGTTAAACACGTAATTAATTTTTATATAAGGGAATATAAGTTGTTTAGGAGATGACACTTGATAAATTTGTGTGAAATTAATTCATGATACCAAATACTTATAACCCACAATTTTATCCTCAGGAACAGGAAATATCGTACGATGAAGAATACGAATATGTACCGACGATAAAACCTATACGAATTGTACAATTCGTGAGTAGTCAAACAACAACTATTAAAAGTTTGTTCAACCAACTTATAAGATTTTCGTATGATTTAGTTATTATTGGCTTCCCTCATTGGCCTAACTATCTACACATGTATCAATAAATCTCCTTATAATGAAGTAGACAAAATTCTTTTGTTTTTGGCATTTGGTACATTTTTCTTCATAACATTTATTGACATTATCAGCCAATTTGGTGGTGATCCAATAACGGAAACACCGGTTGGTCAGAGTTTTACTTTTTTACATTTTTATAAAAAATAATAAATATTCGATACCTTATCTAAATGATTGAACTAATTTTTAAAAAGTATATATATATATATAGATTATAAACTTTTATTACTTTTAGATGTTCCTATTCGGAGTAACCGCTACGGTAGTTTTATTATTAGCTGCATTCCAAATTTTTAGTGTTACTAGAAGAGACGAAGTAAATGATACCTGGAAACTCATAACAGCGATTGTTTTATCCGTAATTGCTTCTATCGTATTTCTAATCGACGTTCTTTTAATCTTCTTGTACGGATATTGAACAATTTCATTACTTTTACTCGAATCTCTGTATAACATTTATTTTTATAAACTTTATGATTTATAAAAAGATAATACGGTCACGTATAATAAAAGTTTCATTTCAATTGATTACAAAAACGATCATTGAAAAAAGTTATTTGTTTTCTGTAAATTAAAAAATTTATTATAACAAATATATATGGGGATAGTAAATAAGAAAGCTATAATCATAGCCTACCCGTGTTATCGAAACAAAAAAAAAAATAAAAACAAAAAAAAAATCGATATAAGATGACACAAGAATAAACGTTCTGTACAGAATTATTTGACAGAAGATTTAAAATATATTTCTCATATTCAATTGTAAAAAAAAAATATGTCCAATAGAGGTAAGTTTAATGACTATTGAAAAATGAATCATCTTTAAAAAATCATTTTTTATCAGATGAAATACTTAAAAGAAGTCATCGACCAAAGAAACTAGGTTTTTATCAAGAAGACAATACTTCATATACGGCGGTATTAAAGCCGCTTAGAGTTTTTCAATTTGTAAGTAAAGCAAGTGCAATATCGTGTATACCTCGGATGAATTAATTTCGATAAATTTTATCGATTTAGCTCTCGTCAACGTTCCTATTCTTTCTGACCATATACATACTTTGGATACCCGAGCTTCCGTTTTCTACAATCATTTGCCTTTCATTAATTGTTATAAATGGTATCTATGTCTTTGTCATGAGTCTGGAAATAATTTCTCAATACGGTGAACGTAGTCTACGTATTACACCGGTAAAATAATCTATTACGTAACAAAATTAATCCATTTTAAACAATTATTCTATAAATTCGAACGAATTGATCACATTATTCGTTAATATATATATATATATATATATATATATATATATATATATATTAACTTATAATATATATATATATTAAGAATTATGCTACTTTATGACAGATGTTTACGTTCTCCATGCTGGGTTTCCTGATATATTTTCTTGTCAGTATATTCTTATTTCTATTATCAAACACCAATAGTAATTTCAGACCGATAAAAACTGTACTGATATTCTTCAGTCTTATTCTATCGCTATTCTACCTGATCGACATTTTGACTGTACTTTCGTGAGTTTCGTGCTTCGTAATAATCAAATCTTTAACTCTTTTCGTTATTTAGTAAGAAAATCGAAAAGTATAAAAATACTCTTATCATTGTAGTATCTGGAAAAATAGGTGTAAAATGTATCAAAAGAGTTGTCAGGAAAAGGAACTTTTTTCCATGGGAATAAATGCACCAATCATTGCGCAAATTCTACCGGAAGAAGTATATTTTAATGTTGTTATTAATAATACACATACATATATATATATATATATATATATATATATATATATATATATGTATGTATATACAACTTTGTTGTTAAAAACAAATGTATATCCCTGGTATTCAGAATAACAAACGAGATGTAACGACTAGTATTAGCGCCATAAAATTATCACCAAATAATGAAAATACCACACCGGATCATAGCTTACGAAAAACGAACGTTGGTCGTCGACGAATGTATGCCGATCGTCCAACTAGTGTCCCGTCAATAGCAAGTGTAAAAATCGCCGAAATTCAAACGGAACCGAAAGATGTAATTGTTGAGGAATCTCAGGCTAGTAAATGAAGGATAAACAAGTTAATTATGAAAAAGAACCTAATTGAATAATTATCATGTAACTGTTTGAAAAAAAAAAAAAAAAAAAAAAACCAACAAACACCAGACGGTAAAATCTGAACTGAAAGAAGTCCTGGTACAAACAATGAGTAGATGCGAGTTTTGCAATCAACATTTTCGAACTCAAGGAATTTTATCGTCATCCCAGCTTTCCGCTCAATGTACATCTTGTTCAGCGATCATCCAGCTTCTACGCGGAGGTATCACTATTCCATGTTGTCCCAAGTGAGTTTATACCTTGGTAACAAAGAATTCTAACTTCTTAATTTGATATCTATCAATCTCTTCGAAATTAATATTTATAAAAGTATTAAGATTGAATGAATTTCATGTTATTCAGTTGCGATTGCAAGACTGGAGTTTTACAGATGGAACAGAAAAAACAAAGGATTCAGATACAAGACATCGAACAAAACGGTGATCAAAACGACGTTCAAAATGGCGATCAAAAAGACAATTCAAAGGAACAAGCGACGGAGAATCAAGTACAAGCGAGGTATCATCAAGTGCAAACGACGGAGAATCAACGAAATCATTCGAAAAATAATAATTCTCGCGCCTTAACGAGTAAGAAACAATCTTGAAACGTAATTAAAACATCGTACAAAGCATACAAGTTGATAAAGAGATTGACGAACGAATGAATAATTAATAAAAAAGGTCCAATCTAAATGTGACTTTATGAAGAATAATTGTTTAATATAAATTACAATATCCAAAAGAAAAAACTAAATTTTACTTTTTAATCAATGCATAAATACATTCGTATAATTTAAATCAGTATGCTTACGATTGATACAAACTACTTAACAGACTCGATATATATGTATATTAATTTTGTTATAAACACATATACACACACACGCGCGCGTTTTTTTATCTCAATATATATATATTGAGTTATAAAATAAATTCTATTGCAAAGGTTTTACGAAGATGACTGTAACAGTACACTGTGCATCGCCAAGCACAACAATGGAAGTAGCGACTTCAACCGGATCAAAGGAAAACGTTGTTACCACGTAAACCGCAAAATATGAATTGCTTGTTAATTATTTTACTTCTGACATATACGTGTTATCTTATTTTATTATTTTTTAGTTATATCCCGCTACAGGGACCACCTCTAATGCTATCTAATAATGAAAAATCTCAGAACACAACACAGATTCCAATAATGTATCAGCAAACTGAAAATTTAATAGAGATGTTACATTCGAAAGATGAAAATCAGACGGAACAGGTTCAAGAAATCGAACCACCCAAAGAATTGTCTATTTCTGCGGCGGAAAGTGTCGAATTAGAAAAATATAATAACGAGAATGAAGACGTAAAACTTCCTTTGCAAATTAAGGATGGTAAAGAAAGCACAGGTAAGGATATCGAATAAAATCTGAAAGAACATAAATTCGACAAATGAAAGTAAAACCATATATACAGACATACACGACTATATATATATATAAATATATATATATATATATATATATATATACATAATATAATATAACATACATATATATATATTTTACAGAAATTAAAAAAAATGATGTTAAAGAATTACGATCAAATCAAGTTTCACATCCGAGAATACCGAAGTCAGATACAAATGATAATAATTTAACGAATAAAGGTCGAAAAAGCGGAGAACAAAATAATTCTGCGAAACAAAATAAAAGGGTTAAGAGAACAAGATGTGTAACATTGCAGAAGGATAAAAAAGATAATGCTCGTACATATTCGAGATTTTTACCATTGGAAGATATAAAGACAAGAGATTTGAAGGATGTAAGATGTAACGAACAGGATTACACGCAGACTATTTGCATGCCTATAATCCCGTAAATCGTTTTAATTATTTATAGAAAAATTCAAATATACAAATTTTTAAATATTTTATAATTAATATTTTTTATAAATTAGTCACGAAGTCGTTGAACATCCACATTGTGCCAGAACTATCATGTCATCGGTTTTTCAACGAAACAATAGAATTGATCCAGCGTACATGCCGTGAGCACTTTAATATCTGTATATTTTTGTATATTTATATACTATTATAATTTGATATTTTTTACATTATCCTCAGAGAATGCGAAACTTATATTGCTCAAACGGAGAATCCATATATTCAAGGTGAAGTTGATACTCCAACTGTTCGTAAATTTTCAATTGTTTAAAAAAATTATGTAAATAATAAACATCAATTATATTTTAATTCTGTCTTTTAAAGGAGCCGTTTACTACCCTCCCGATTGCAGCTACGACAAATACAGATGTATGCACGACATGTAAAAAGAAGAAGGTAAATAGGAATTTTTATTTCTTTTATAAAGATTGTAATCTCTTTTTTTTTTCTTATTATTATTATTGGTTATCGTTTTCTCGTTTTTCTCTCTTTTTTTATTTCCTATTTCCACAGCTAATATCTTTCAGTATTATAATATCTACAAAGATAATGAAAGAAGAGTTTACTGCAATTTATGTATTTCTTCGTGCTCAAATAAAGTATATGTATATATATATATATATATACATATATATATATATATATATATATATATATATATATATATATATATATATATAATGATAAACATTTAACTTTTTTATGGCTTTGATAAATCATTTTATTTAGGTATCGATTATTACGAATCAAAATGAAGATATTCCACAAGAGAGTTTTAACTCTGGAAATTTTCCATGTATAAGTAGAGGAATCGTTTCTGCAAGTTTTCAAAGTGTTTCCTTAATTGTAAAATATTGATGAAATCATTCGTAGGTATAAATTAATTTTGTTTGCAGAAATATGATAAAAAATTTACTTACTGTACGAAATGTGCCCAATTACAATCTTAAACAGTTGCAACGTCTGTAATTTTTCATGAATTGAAACGTAAGTTATTTACTGATTCGTGTTATAATTGAAACTTCGTATTTATTTGATACAAATATTTTCTAGATTCTTTCACAAAACGATTATTGTTATTACGACGTTGAGATGTTATCGATTGAAGTAAACAAAACGACATTTATAATCTACTTTAGTGGAGTAGCTTAAACTAACAATAATCATAGTACATGTAAATATTACGATATACATAATAGTACATTGATAGAAATATTTATTTGAACATAACACTGTAACATAAAAAGAATTTCTCTGGACAAACATACTTTTGTTGAGATAAAAACAGTACGAAATTAAATCTTTTTTGTTTTAGTTTTTCTTTTTTTTTTTCTTACATCTCATGCAAATTATTATTGAATACACTTTAAATTCATGTAAAATTGATGTTAATGATATTATTAAAGAAAAAGAAAAAAGTAATAGTGCGATACGATACTGATTGTAAAGGTATTAAGCTATATACATCTTGTTCGTGTTCTTTATAAACGTGATAAAATATCAACAACGAAAAACATTAGAAAAATTAATAAAATGGATGTATTCATCGATATCCAAGTTATAGATTATAACATTTAAATAGAAAACGTGATTTATAAAAGCAATATTGTTGAATCGTATTCATTTTTGTTATCCAGTGATAATTTTTTACTTGATACCATTAAGGAAACCTTATTAAAGTTGATACTTCGAGATTTTAACAAATCTATCAGTAGCAATATAAATTATATGTTAACGACTAAACTAATTAGGAAGAGAGTGGAAAAAAAAAACGATGATATTAATATTAATAATCACCATTTACAAATTCTCTGTTGAGAATCGGTCTGCCTTGAGAATATTTAAATTCAAAAATGTTGTCTTTCAAATGATAATCCGAAGACAATTGATTTTCCGGCTGACAATTCGGTGATGTAGTCGACGATAACAAAAGATTATTAACAAGATTTGTACAGTTGTTGATTTTTTTATCGATTCGATTGATCGGCCAAAGAGAATAACATGCATTGGTTTTCGTTATATTGGCAGGTATAACATTTTTGTAAATAATATTCTGTGAACAATTGTCACTTAACAATCGATTTTGATTCAAATCTTCAAAATTATTTATATTGAAACCTTGAGACATTTGTTGTTCCGGACAGATACAAGTTGGAACTTTTGGTACATACATGGAAAAAAAAAAGGGATTATTTTGTTCCGGACGATTGGAAGTCGTTGTTGAATCGTTTTCATAAAAATTATTAGTCATATTGGAATAAGATTGGAATATGTCATTCACTTGGTAAAATGGATTGGATTGAACAAATCCGTTTTGCCACAGTCCTTCCTGTTGTTGAAACATGGTCTTTTCTCTCTCCTTCAATTTTAGAGTAACATCTCTCTTATTAGAATCATTGAAGTTAGTTGGATCGTTAAATATTGAATTTTTACTAGAAGATGATTCTTCGATCTTACAATAGTTAGAAATATTATTATTACAAACTGGACTATTCTGTGGTAAAAATGGCAAAGCGAGAGAATTGAAATTCGAAGATATAGTATCTTTCGAAAATTTTGTTTTTGATAAATTCGTTCTTCCTGGGATATATAGATTCGAAGATGTATGACCGTGTACTCCTAAATCGAAGTTACCTTCGATGAATATATGTCGCTTATAAGGATTAGGTACGATTTTTCCTCCTGTTTGAAAACTCGTTTCTGTAGACTTTTCGATGTGCTTTGTCAAAAGATTTGATTTTCTATTACTTTTAAAATTCGTAAAATCATACAATCTGGGTATAATATTATTGGGATTTTTTGTATAATTGAATCCCTCAGCAACTTCGTCCTGGTGAGTTGTTCTTGATGCATTCCAATTGCAATGATTCAGTTCGTTGAACTTTTTCGTACTTTGATAATCTTGCACGCTGGATTGCTCGAACGTCGAAGAAATAGGTAAGACCATGGATTGATCTGAGATTATTCAAAGTCAATTAAATATCGTATATAACATACGACAATGATATTTTACACGATGATTTGAAATGTTCATAATCACTAGAAATAGAATAAAGCATTGTAAAAGATATTTTTTACCAAAATTCGAAGGTAAACTTCTCGATTGAGTAAGTTGTGTAGCCGATGAAATCGATGGCAAGGATTTATGAAATTTTTCCGAATTATTTTCATTGTTCTCGATTATGTCACGAGTTAGTCCATCTATTTTTAATGATTTTAAAGCCGACGTTAGCTTCATCTCTGTGGAACGAATGAAGGTCTTCTTCAGCGTGATGTTGCCATCCTGATCGCAAGTACCACATTCCTCCAACTGTCATCAGCAACTCCTATTTTATAAACTATTCCACGTGGTTTTTCGTCGAAATCGCAATTTACAAAGAAAATCGTTTCTTTTATCGGGTCTACGTTCGTCTATATCGATGTTTGATAAGGTGAATTACTTCTTTATCGACGCAGAAAAATTGATCATATCGATTATTGTTATCAAACAAAATTTATATATGTGTACTATCATTAACATATTACAATAATTTATATTCCGAGGTGATATTATTTGTGTTTGCGAAAGATTCGATCGTCGGTAAAGTGTCAATAAGTTTGCCATCAACCCTCCTTTTATATCTTTTCTTTACATGAAATTATTTCGATTACGATGCATCTGTTTAGAATAAAAAATTATATCTCATAGAATAACATTGATAACCTCTATTTTAGAAGAGAAAACATTTACTAATGTTATCATACACTTGCAATATGCTGTAACTTCATAAACACTTTTGTAATAACCTAAAATTCATGATCATTTCAAGCATTAATTTAATAGTAATCGTCGCAATTTAAACTGAAAATTTTACAGGATAAATACATTTGAACGATCAAGGTAACTAATTAAAAATAAAACAAGTCTATAGGTTAAATAAAAAAAATTGTACGCACTTATACCAGGAAGATAAAAAATTAAAAAAACAAACTTCTTAAGCACGCGAATAAATATGTAGAATGTAACCGGTTATGATAAATCATAATGAACACAATCAATGCAAATTGAAATTACTAACCATCTCAGCTTTTGCAAGGTAGACCCAGAGTTTTCGCCACGTGCTGAATTTTTTTTGCTCACTGAAGTTGTACCGCATTTCCTTTGACGCGTATCTCGTTGCTAATGGGCTTCGATAATCACTGTACTCGTTTGTTTCCATTTCGATAATATTTTAAAATAGTTAAAGGTAACAAAAAAGACCCTTGAAGTCAGCAAAAACACGAAAATTATCGAACGTAATATAACTACACGCGATCAACCAATAGACTGAAATAAGAGACAGTAGCAACGTTGGTAGACTGATGATAGCGCCAATCAGCGGACAGTTCGGAACTAACGATATTCTATCGATAATTATATTACCATGCGAGTTTTTGAAATTTTTTATCAAGGATTATTTAAATTTTATACATAAAAATTTTAATTAAATATTTAAACCTATATTGCATTAAATATTAAAAAAAAAATTCTATAATTTAACAATCTTTGTAAAACTTTTTTTGATATATCAAAATTAAAATATCATTTCTAGATCTAAAAATTCAAGTGATTAATAATTCTTTTATAATAATTTTTTTATACTGCTTGGTTTCTGTTAGTGACATAATTGAATTACTTTGTTTAATTAAATGAGAATGCATGTGGCGTGAAGCAGGAAATGTAAAGAGCCGTCGCGAAGATTTTCAACTGAAGGAATTGCAAGGACGTTCGCACGTGATCGAAACGATTTTAGCAAACGATTCACTTCTGAACGAATGACTTCTGTGCTTCTCACGAATCGTAATGCCGTCCGTAGAGAAATAATTAAGCAGCGAAAGTACCCACGTTCCGTTTTTACGTGAGACCAGAGATGACCGACGTTATTGTTCCTCGTAGAGGTTTGGAAAATGACGACTACCTTCTTATCTATCGCAAACACGAATATAATCACTTCTTTAATCTTTTCGAATATTCGTTAAACCTTCGTAAAACACGTATTTCCGATATCGCTTAAAAAAAAATCTTTGATACATTTATCCGCGACAATTTTCATTGCAAAACAACGATAAACATAATATAGATTCTTATATCAATTATTGAATTATTTTTTCGAAAGCAATTTATGTGAATAATCCAATTATGATATTATAAGGATACTCACTACATCCGACGGATAGAGATTAGGATGTGCCCAATCGATGATAATTTTACCACCAGGAAAAAGAGTCCCTGCTTCGGGTACCAATCGTCTTCTACCCATTGCGGCTCCTCTATGAGTTTTGTAACATATTAGTGCATAACATTCGGATCCATTAGTGTTACGATAAACTGCTACTTCGTTAACGTCGTCGGTGATCTCGTAAATTCGCTGAAAATTGTTACGTAATTATTTTGGTATGTTTTACTTTATTTTCTTTTTATTTATTTATTTATTTATTTTTATTTTTTTTTTTTTTTTTTTTTGTTTTAAGGAATTTTTTAAACAATAACGAAACATCGATACCTTGACGACCGTCTCAGCTTCGATATCCAATGGCAATTGTTTGATATGTAACCGACAATGATTAATACTAGTGACGACGCCGATTCTATGGCCACGACAAATTTCGTAACGATCGAGCTCTTTAACTGCACGAGATGCATCTTCCGGCTTTGTATACATTATGAAACAATAACCTCGATTCCTTCCTGAGAAATCCATCATTAAACGAATTTCATAGATACTTCCGACCGAACTGAATATCGGATAGATATCGTGTTCGTAAAGTGTTCTTGGAATTTTTCCTACAAAGATCTCGCATCCAGGACCAGGCGCTGGACCGATCCAATTCAATGGTGGTCCAAATTTTCTCTGTCCATTGATTTGCGTCAAAGAATAGTTGAAATCTGTGACCAATTGTAAAATCTTTCTACTGGCTTCCATCTGTTCCACTACGTCGGGAATTTTATCACCTAATATGGGTCGATACGTTCGAGGACGTGTACTACCTAAAAAAAGAACCTTTATTTAGAATTTTATCTTTTCCTAAACAAACATTTCAAAAAATATATAAAGAAACGTTGGCATATCGTATTTTTATTAATCACTTTTACCTATACATTGTCATATTAGAAAGAGAAAGAGGAAGATAAAGAGAAAAAGAAAGAGAAAGAGAGAGAGAGAGAGAGAGAAAATATGCATCATCTTTATATATACAAATCTAATTCTCTTCTTATACGATTTCGAAATAACACAGTATAGAAAACAAAAGCAATTTTATTTTTACACGGTATATTTTGATTTAATCAAGTTCAAATGGCGTTTATTTAAAAAATTTCTATTTTAATTAGGTGTTAAAAAGAATATCTTCTATTATGATTATCATTCCCTAGAAAGGTAAGTAAGTAAATATGTATTTAAAAATTTCCGATAATACTTCGATATTTTAATCCTTTGTCTGGGTTGCGTTTTTTTTTGTCATACTAAAAGGGCCTTAACCAAAAGGCGATAAGCAGGAAGAAAGAAAGAATGATAAGCGGACACGTGTGGATAAGAAATAAAAAGAGAATAAAGAATCGTTAAAAGAAAAAATATTCCATTGAAACTAAATAAAGTTCTATTCAATATATTATAGTTTTTGATTGAAAATAACTTATTGTTCGTATAGAGTTTTCACATATGTAATTATTCTTTTGTTTTTTCATATGCACTGTATTCTTTTTTACAGGGCTTTCATTTATTTAAACAACCGTGTAATTGGAGAATTGGGTGTATATAAATATTTTGAGATTAGAGTTAAATGATCGATTCGATATTTACAATAATGTTTTCAACAAAGAAAGTCGATGAAACGAATCGTATTCAAGTAACAGCACTCATTTGTCTATTTTCATGCAAGATAATACAAACTCTCTCTCTCTCTCTCTCTCTCTCTCTCTCTCTCTCTCTCTCTCTCTCTCTCTCTCTCTCTCTCTCTCTCTCTCTCTCTCTCTCTATATATATATATATATATATATATATATATGTATATATATATATATATATATAAGCATTTTTATTATATAATAATATCAAGAATAATAGAAAAATCGCGAGATCGAGAAACAGTTTTCATAAACAGACGCTGACAATCATTAATAAAAAAGTAATTTATTAATTATGATTTAATTAATTTTTACACAATCGATTTTTTCAACGAGATAGTTGTTTCTAGAATAAAGCAATTGTTACTGGCATAATGACAACACGAAGAACGCGACTATCGATTCTTACGTTATCCTTTTTACTTAACGAATCATTGTCGAAGATCGGAAATCTAAAAATATCGGATCTATAAAACGATCTTAAAAGCCATCTATGATAACAAAATTCTCATTGATTAACGTGAAAGAGGTTACAAGCGAATCATTCTATTTTTATTGACGACTATCGTTTTTGTAAATATACAATAAAAGAAAAAAGAAAAAAAAAAGACAATTGACTTACTCCATTTGCTGTTACCATTGCGACATATCCTCTTAGATGTACCCATCGTGAAGATCCCTGGAATATTTTGATCGATGAAAGATCTCGATCTATCGCCACCGTTACAGTTTTTTTCACAATATTGTTTTTGATCGTCCTCTTTATATTTTTTGTCCATCCTATTTTGAGAAACTTCAACAGGAGGAAGCAAGAAATCGGCGAAGTTCATGGCAATCGAGATCGATCGATTATGATGAAATCGACCAGAGTTTCTCGTGTACTGATGAATGATTTTTGTTTAACTAGCTAGTCTAGAACTTGATTTTAAGGGCCTGGTACGTAGGGTTAGATGGCGCTAATTTCGGGCCGCTCATTGGTCAAACTCTCTTTTATTCTCACAACTTCGTTTCTCATTTTTCTTTTCCTTTTCTTTTCTCTTTTTTCTGACTTTTTTTTTTTTATTACCGCAGGACACATCGACTTTTCGTCTCTTCTTTAGAAACGAATTGACAATCGGAAGGTTTATCTGTGAAGCAAGCGTTGTTTTAAGATTACAACGCAATCTCACTGACGTTCATTTTTATAACGACATTCTTCTTAACTTTTTCTTTAACTTTTACTTAGATTCTCAAGAAATAGTATAAAGAAATATCAAACACGATTACGATTTTTTTACTACTTTTACTACTATGGTTTCTAGTGATTTTACTGATTAATATTATTGAATATTAATCTTCTTAATAGATAAAGAAGACAAAATATATCGGCCTTTTCATAGATATCTTGAATCGATATTTTGGCTTTTTATATGTAATACAATTTTAAATCAATTTTTATAATAATAAAATAAACGTATTGACAATGTAATAAGAATATAAAGAATACTAAATGTTACATAGTAAAATTATAAGTTATTATGTAGGTTAATTTCATTCAAAAATATTTATCAAGATAAGAATTATATGATATAAATATGACGATTAATTTATTGCCTTGACGTTACTATTCATTGAAATCTAATATTCATCGAAATTTTTTGGCAGATAATTTTATTTGGAATAATGTTTTGATTTCGAGGAATACGACTGGTATTATCGTCTTTATTTCCTTCCTTGTTTTTCTTAAGACGATAACCAGTCTCGTAAGGATTAGATATCTGTTGGTATAAAAAAGATTGCTATCGCAAGACAATCAATATACATACGTTACGAACAAATAGAGAATTTTCAATTTGATTCTAGTTCCATTGTAGAAAAGATTCTATCGTAGATTTTATTGGAAGAAAAGAAAACTTGCATATTATCCGAATTCTTATTTCAAAATTTTTTTTCCTTTTCTTTCTTTAAAATACAAATAATCACATTTTTTTTGTTTAGAAGAAAAAAGAGAAAATCAAGATTCATTCTCTTTCTAATATATATCTCGTAAAATATTTATATAATAGTTGGAATCGCTGAATATTGAGAATTACTACATCGTCCTAGCTAGACATATGAATGTATATATATGTACAATGTAAGTACTTATACATACATATATACACACACACGCATATATATATATATATGACGAATGTAAAAAGAACGATTCTGACGCACGGCATTAGTCATTTCTAGACTCGCGTGTAACAGGATGAATTTCATAAAAATAATGCATAATTAGAGGTTTACGAATGTCTTGAAAAAGAAAAAAAAAATAGAAGACGACTAAATTTTCTGTTTTTTATGTCATATATGGTTTCTCTATTAAAAGAAAATATATATATATAAATATATATATATAAATATATATATATAAATATATATATATAAATATATATATATATATATATATATATATATATCACTGTGTTCTTTGAAAAATGATTATATATTTTTTTTCAATAATATAGATCACTGACAATTAGCTAAATAAAAATTTTGTTGCTTTTATTTCGAACTTCGTAATAGGTTTCATTGACCAAACGTAATTACGAAAACTGAACTGACCAATTGGAACGTTCTCTGTATTAAGACGACACACTTACATTTTTAACTTATCTAATCGTTGTAGTTATTCGTATCACACAAGAGTTTTTTCGAATAATTTTTCTTAAATGTATTTTTAAATGTAATTTTTACTTGTTATTTTAGTCGATCGATCATTTATATCTATGAAAAAGAATAATTTCTCGATTACGCAAGCTCATCTTTTTCCGTAATTAATGACCGAACCTGTCACGACCTGGAGAATCTAATTATTTTAATGTCTTGTTTTCAGATGAATCACATCCTGATTTAACTGACATCACTTGTTGCTTGAATAAGCGAATTTTTTTGATATATATATATATATATATATATTTTTTTTTTGATATATATATATATTTTTTTTTTGATATATATATATTTTTTATATATATATATATATATATATATATATATATATAACTTATAATTAAAGAAATTTCATATATCTTTATTGTTAAATTATATACAGAACTATATATATATATTTATTTATTTATTTAAATAAATAATTATTTTTCATTGTTCGTATTAAATTTACATAGATAAATATTTTATAACTATCTACTAATCTACTGTCAATGAACTATCGTTATTCTATTAGTAAAGTTCACTAACCTTTTCTTTAAAAAATATTGTTTCTCGACATTCTGCGCCAATGCACTCACTGTGCGATAATAGTATTCTTGTTCGCCGCCATGCCGAGACCTTATTACAAGACGCGCTGCTGTAAGGTTGTAAGACTGTAAGACCGTGCACTGGCTGTAAATGGAAATCGTGGTGTTGGGCTCACTATCTCTTCAGTTGTCGTTCGAGCGTGCCGCGAATCAAACTTCATTTGCTTTCTTACCTGACTCGACGTAGATTGATCGAACGACTTTGATTTTCAAAAAAATTACAAATAATATAAAAAACGTTGTAAAATTTATCCAAAGAATAACGTGACTTTTGAATGACGCCATTTTTTTGCATTTCTTTCTTTTCTTTTTTTAATTTATTTTAATTTTTTTTACGCACTTTACAATTTAAAAAAAAAAGATGTAAATGAATAAAATCAAAAAGATTTCTTTGATCGATGTCGAGGATCAGTGCAAGATTTAAAAGTTCGCTCGATTACTTAAAGAAGAGAGTACTCAGAAAATCGGTCAAGCGTGAATCTCCCTTGTTGTACACGAAAAACTTCTTTAGTGAGACACTTCGTTCTGTTCGTATCCTTTTTTTCTGTTTTATTTTTAACGTGAAAGGAATAATTACTTGGTATTGAAATAAATGAAAAAAGAAATAAGTTGATTTGTCTCAGAAGAAAGTTCGTTGATATATTTGTTTTTTAAAAGAATTTGACCATTTTAATTAAAGATATCGTACGAAGATCCTAAGAAGATCGAATATTAGTTATTACATAAATCATTATACATTTCTTCCTAATTTTTTTTATCGCTTTTAATTTTCGTACGTAATTCTCCGTTCAAAAAAATGTGGAATCGTAAGGTTTTCGTCAGAATAATCGAAGTGGTACGTAAAACTTACACCTTCCCTCGACAATTCTCATTCTAATTAAATAATAGCTCTTTTTTCTCTGCCATCTCTATTAGCAACGTGTGACTTCTCTCAGATAATTAAACGAAAGCATTCGAATAATGGAAAGGAAAGAATAGTGTCTTTTAACAAGATTGATCTTAATTTGAAAATTGATTAATTACATATGTTCGATAAATCATTTTTCTTTTTATCGTCTTTTTTCTTCTTTTTTTTCTGTGTTTTTCTTTTTTTTCTTAATAAATAAATTTGCCTTCTCGAAATCTTAACGGGTTAAATAAAATTTCCAGCTGCTTTGCATCGCATGCGTGGTTGCGCTCAGAGTGACGGATGACGAAAGCAGAAGAGTATTTCATTATTTGAGGAATCGCAGCAGAGAGTGGTCGCTTTTAAATAATGTCACATGGGGCACCATAGGTAAATTAACAACAATAACAAATAAAAGAAAAACAAATGAGAACATTCATTTGTTATATTCCATTTGCAAGATCTCTATTCTTGAAGATATTCGATACCTGGTCCGAGAAGTATATATCTGAAATTTTGTCGAGACTACAATGATCCATCAACGATTTAGGTGCCGCTCTTGCAACAGCGACTTGCGGTGGCTACGTCATCATAACTGCCGGTCTTCTTATTGCCGCGGCAACTAATGAACTTACGGGCCGAAAAACGGTAATTAATATTTCTTCATAAGTGACGTAAGTGAGATAGAATATGTATATATGTATGTGTCCTATACATATATATATATATATATATATATTTGCATTATAGAAACATTTCTATACCTATTTCGAACAAAAGCCAAAATGAATAAAGATCATTAACATATATTCTTTTCTTCTTGACATTCTTCTTTTTTTTTTAAAAAGATTAATAAAAAAAAGTAGTGACACGTGATTCGACGTTTGACGTGTCATAATTATCTCATTGTTCTTATGTTCCCAAAGCCGTATCTTTCTCTTGCAATACCAAGCATTGTCATATTTTAACGATAGAAACTATCTCTCGTTGTTAATGCTCTTCGAAAATTCTTTCAGCACAATATCAAACTAGTCAAATACATTTCCGTTTTACGTTTCTAGACGTAACAAATATTTGTTTGTTGTTAAATCGTCGGGTCGTTATTATGATGTTATAGTTATGCACGGTAAATTGTTATTACTCAACAATAACAGATTGCTTCAAAGGTTCTTGCTAAACTCGTAATGCATTTAATTTGATGTGACTGATTTGATGAGTATAAATGTTTGTCATAAAATAAAGTTAAAATATAATTAATCGATCATTTATAATATTAACATTCACACATTTAAAGTATATAAATGAGGAGTGTAATTTTTTTTTTTTAAGTTTTTACTATTATTAATTACTCGAAACAAGAATAAGAAGATTATGCGTAATCATTAAAAAACAACTTACCGTACGAGATCTTTCTCAGGATTTCTCTTTTTAATTTATTCAGAGCGAAGTCGATTCGATCAGGTGCGGTTAATACGTATGAAAATACTGGGAATCTAATTGACAGCGTGAGAATATCAGCAACATAACTGAACGCATTCATGAAGTTTGTCATTGGTGGCCAAGGCTGACAGTGTTCTTAAATGCAATTGGTGTAGAATCTTGAGCACGTAACACTATCCTTGGTATATGTACGATCATTAAATCGCTCAGCATGCATGCTATTCTAACTTATTTTATGACTCATAAATAGGGCTAGGCCAGATCTCAAACTGCTCTCATACAAAAGTATTTGTTCTGATGATGATTAAGCGAATCAATTCTATTCTATTTTGTAATATGAGAGTTAATTTTTATTGAAAAATGTAACTATTATTAGAAAATGGTATTATACTGATGTCATTCTTTTTCTTTTTCTTTTTTTTGTGTTTTTCATTTTTTTATTTTATTTTATTTTATTTTTATGATCCAAAGGAGATCTTCTTCCTTGGTCTCGGTGTGATCCTTTTTGGAATCGTCGGTGCTCTTGCTTTAGCATCAATCGAAAGTATTCCAGAGGATTTGATCGACAATGCTGCAGTTCTCGGTGCACTCACTCTAATCACCGCTCTTATATTCATAGCAGACCTACTGATATCTCCTCCTCGTAAAAAGGATAAGCAGGAAGTGCGAATGGACAGTGATAAGACGGACTCAGGCAAGTTGCAAACAGGAAAAGGTCTCTCCTCGTCTGTTTAAATTTAAATAACGGTGTTAAATTACACCTTCGTCTGCATCACGTTGGATCACTTTGGATCACTTTGATCCAAAATCGTTTCTCGCATTTTTCACACATACACACACTCACACACACACATAAATATGTTTTTCTAAAATTTCTTTATATTAATCTCTTATGTTTTAGAGGAATATGTCAAACGTATAATGAAAATATAATACGATCTCGATATCAAATAATATTTGAGATTTTATTTTTCTATTTAATTCATCGACTTCGACATTCTTTTTTATAATTTTATTAAACATTTTCTTGTTCCTTTCCTGTCCGTCGATCCCTTTCAATGAACCTTTTGCAAAATGCCACAGTTAAACAACCCACCATGACGACGACGGAAAAGGAGATGAAGCCGTCGAAAGAAAAGGAAAGTACGAAATCGAAGGAAGAATCGAAGGAAATCAACGGTAAGATAAATGAAGGATTCGAGAAGATAGACGATCGAAGAAGGAAGGAGGTCGATGAAGAAGATTCCGATAAACCTCAACGACTCGAACAACTTGCATACGACAATTATCGGTTGGAAAGAAATCGTAATTTCAATAATGTTGAAAGAGAATTACGAGAACACACGCAGAACTTTGAAAATGGACGGGTTTTGAGAAACTCTCAACGATACAGGGAAGCGGAAATTCTTCAAGGAAACAGTGCCGTAAACAGATCATTTGACGATGATCGTAGATCGGAAGATTCCAGGATCATTTATAAGACACGGGATATTTATCAACGACCCATCGACGAGGTCGATACACCACCGTTTCCAACTAATTTTGGCCGAGGAAACGAGCCCATCTTTGGCAAGATCATAAATCCTAGTGTGAAAATAATGAAGATCCAACATGATGTAAATGAACCTCTTGATTCTTACAGGTAACTGTTTAATTCTTATATTTTACATATAATGATATTATTTCCATTAAAACTTTATATATTTTCTTTGATTACATAGAAATACAAGAATTAAAATAATCGATTTTTTTACGATTGTTTAATCTCATAAAATGATCAATATTTATCATGAAATTATTTAGTAGAAATTCTGACGTTTTAGTCGAAATATAATTTAAATAAATATTATGATTTAATAATTTTTTTTTTTTATATATTTCAAAAGATATTCCGATACTAGCCAATATGACAATGTACCAGTGAGGATGAAAGGAATATCATCGAGTATCTTGAAGAAGGATCGTGGTGTTTCTTTGAATGGTTCATTGGCTTCTAAAACTCATAACAAGATTGATGAGAGGAGCAAAAATGAGATCGAAATGCTGGAAGAATGTTTTAGTTCTCTCAGATCGACTGGAACTCAAACTGGCGTTCGTACACCTTCCTCACCAACAGATCCTGGATATGTTCGTCATACTGCAAGCAATTGGCCACACGATCTCAAGGCAAAAACACCTGGCTCTAGTCCAGAACATAATAGGAATCAATAAAATTTTTGATTCATTTTAATCGTTAAATTCATTAACTATTATTATACTCTGTAAAAATGTTTACACACACAAACACACAGACACACACGTCTGTGTGTTATTTTCTGTTATCCATAAATGAACTTGAAGCAATCATATTAGAAAATTTGTACAAAACATTTTTATCATTTAACCGTATCATGTTTTACAAAAGGTTTTACCAGGTGTTCATAAAAATAACATTTTACGTTCATTCATGATTCACGTTAGGTATTGGTACAAATTTTAATATAAAGTTAAGGATCTTTGTTCACATCATATCTCTATATGCATACATACAATTATTATTAATATTATTAATATTATTATTATATATATATAATTATTATTATTATTTTTTTATTATTTTTATTATATCGTCTTGTGATAATATGTAGTCTCTATTTGTTAGTCTCTTGAAAACGTAATCATTAAGATTAGTCTTACCGGCTTGTTGCGGATTTACATATTTTATCTCTCTCTCTCTCTCTCTCTCTCTCTCTCTCTCTCTTTCTCTCTCTGTAAAAGAACTGCTGATACTTCAAATTTCTTACGATTTATATAAATAAACACTCGTGCTCGTGAAAAATATTTCATATATAAATGTTCACCAGTTTTTTCATCGTTGAACGTGTATATTTATATAATGAATACATTTAAAAAGAAAATAGATTGTTAAAATTCCAATCGAAATTTTTTCGATTGACGATCAAGATAAAATAAATATAGAGCTATTTTTATTAATAGATCGACTTAGATCGGATCGTAAATGTCTATACCTTCATTGGCAATCATTTTATTTTCTTTATCTATGTTATAGAGAGAAAAAATGTCATGACTTGAGAAAAGAAAGTAAAGAATTGAAATATACGTACATATTAAAAAAAAAAAAAATATTATAAATATTATAAATCAAGAGCATCGACGAATATTCTGCACTGAAGCCTAAAACCAATAACCCCAAGGAATGAATCCCTTCGATGTACAGAATCGTCGTTCTCTTTAATTGCTTCTTCTTTCCTTCCTTTAAACGATTCTAAACTGGTATTTACACAGTCCTTATAGCAAACATTCATATAATTGGATCTTTTAATTCTTTTCGTTTCGTACTCGAACGATCGAAGAAGAAAAAGAAGAAGAAAATGAAGAAGAAGAAGAAGAAGAAAATGAAGAAGAAAAAGATCGTTCATTATCATTTTAAAACGAACTTCTTAAGCTGTCGAGACATTGACAGATCAATTTGAGAGGACTGTTAATAAGTTTATCTCATTCCAAACCCAATTCCTCCGGGCTGCGAGTTGGTCGTTCTTTGTTCCATAGTAATGTACTGCATAATCAGACGTGAAATTTCATGAGCTTGCTCCGTCTGAAGTCTGGTTATACGTTGTTGCATAAGATTGCCACATTTCATGTCCAAATAAAGGGTTCCTTCCTCGGATTTAACCTTTCGCGTTGATATTACTTCGGAGTAAGGATAATGATATAGTGTTTCCTAAAATATTCGATCATTTTTAATTTATATATTTGATATTAATTTTCTCTTAAAAGTATTAATACTCACGTGAGTGACCAAGTCTATGAAATGAACACCATGTCGATTCAAGGCTAAAATATGATCGCCACCTTTTTCTTTACCCTCTGGAATTCTTTTTACGGCAAAGAAACTCGACTCAAATAATGGCCATTTCGATAATATTTCTGAAAGAATTTAAATCCGTTAAATTCGTTTTATTCGGAAACAAAATGATTTTTTAATCAATTTTTTTATAAATACGTATATGTACCTAGTACTTGGGCTTTTGAAGCAGCTGCCGTTATATGTTGTACATTGTTCCAAGCTTGTTGTACCATGTTTGACCATTGTTGAGGTCTTGGTTCTCTTAAACTAAGTGCTGGTTTTGGCAACAAATATTTAATTTCCTTCGTGGCAGGTTCGTGTGTCATGTCCGCTGCTCTATGTAAAAGTGCTGCTATTTGAGCCATATCGTACTGCAAGAAATGTTATTTGTTAATAATTTGATATAAAAAAAATAAAAAAAAAAGATATTGACGATCATGGACTTACAATAACTTCTTGAGGTAAATGTTCTCCAGGTAAGACTAGCAATAGTCCTTCTAAATAATCCGGAGCAATTTGGTTGAAAACAACTTCTATGTACAATGGTGCGTCAAGTCTTAATGAATAATACCACACAGATCTACGAAATAACAAATGATAACATAGATATTAACACACATGTCCGATAATGTGAATTTATTAGACTTATTTATTAATAGTTTTTTATTTAAACAATCATACCTGCAAAATATTAAATAAAACACCTGATGATTCTTGTGTAATTCGGTAGTCACGTCCAAAATGTATTCGTCTCTAGCCAACAGCATGGTGAATGCATCGCCATCGACTATGCAATATAACGAAAACTCGTCCATCTCGTGAGGATTTCTTACGGATATGATGTTGCACATTTCTTCGATGACGTCCTTCAAAAAATAAAATAATTTAAAATCAATGATAAGAAAAAAACAAGCAAACAATCGCATCACAGATAAGTCGAGTTTATGAAATAAATTAATAACAATTAATACGATATAAATATAAAAATTAACCAACCTGCACAACCGTAGTACATTTTGTGTTAATCACTCTCTCGGTTCCACCGGGCAATCTGTAAATCTGTCTCTTTGCATTTCTTCCAGCACTTATAGCCATTATTTCCTCGACGCTAGGCACATTTTTTCGTCCACCATACTTGACCGTTTTCCTGAGATTTTGAAGGCAAACCGTGGCAGTACCATGATAGGCTCGTCTTTTATCATACGCTGCAGTCTCGAGATATTTCGTTAAATATGGTTTGAGTCCTTCGCTGCAAGTGAAATAAGCAGCGACGATACTGAAAAGACGCCATCCACGTTGACAGCTGTCCGGATTGGGACTCTTGTTGTTTGTTGTTTGTTTCATTAGCTGACAGTAAACTTCGTCACGTAGAAGCTCGTATTGATGACAGTGCTATGAATAATGTATCCAACTCATGAATATATCGAAAATAAATATTATGTATTTTATAGATAATGCTATTAACAGGTTTACCATAAGAATCGTATAAACACAGTTGACTTCGCTCATATCAGGAGGTAATGGTTGATCTCCCATATATCTCATCAAACATAGGAAACATTCCACTGCCAAAGCACTTAAATCTGCATCGAGTCTCAAAAGACTTTGCTCTATCGGTACACTGGAATATTTGACGAGATCCACTTGTTCCTTCCATGTCCATTCGGCACCGTCTTGTTGTCCTTTGTTTTTTTTACCTTTTTTCTTGCTCTTCAATGACTCGATCACTTTTAACGAACCACTTATTGAACCATCGGCTGTCTTTAACATCTCGAACCTAACGAACAAGAAAGAAAGTCTTCAGTTTTAAATCATTTTCTTTACGAAAAACAACATATCACTCAGGGAAAAATATAAGATTTTCTTAAATTCCAAATGAGAAATGCAAATTTTATACGACGATTGTTTTATAGGAGAAAGGCAAGATGAAAATCTTTTACCAGCACATCCTGAGAGCGCACTTCTAACTACGGAAAAAATGAAGAAGAAATGGAGAGCGCAATTCAGGAAGACGAAGAAAGAGAAGAACCGTGTCGGTGATTGGTAGTTGATGCTATCTGAGAACTACATGCGTTATGCTTTCTCAACACAGATTACCTCGTGTGTGTCCTCTTGCATAAGCCCGATACGATTATCATTTTACATTTATTTATTCGTAATTAACGTGTTACCGATCGATAAAGTACATAAAACTCGCTTTCCTTGCTACTACTACCGGCTCACCACCCAATAATTTTACTATTCCTATTGATCACCTAAAATAGCCAATTCTCTTTAAGCAAGACGAGATTAGTGGCATTTTTCTTGTGAAAGTTTAACGTCTCTCATGTCTCTTTTGACTTGATCTTGCATTTTATACAAGTGTAAAAATCTCCTCCTTCTTCGAAAGTAGATTTTATATATAATAACTTTTGCCTACGTATGAGATCGAACATAGGAGTTTTCTACATTGTTATGTGTGAATCCTGTACTTTCATAAACCTTTGTCTGTAAGATAATACTCTCGATCAGTTTAACGAATGTGCTTGAGAAACAAACGACGTAGCATCGAAGATGCATCAACTTTGTAAATTGTTAGACAGAGCTCTGAGTGAAATTTAATATGATATTTCAAATCTGCTTCATATTAAAGTGATTATAATTAAGCTCATATTTAAGAACGATATAAATATTCAAAAGAAAAATAATTGCAATTCTATTTACTGTATAATCAAAAATAAATATTGTTTGAATAATCTCATACAAAAGAACGATTCGTTTGAAATCCATTCATTAATAATCATATTTCATTGAGCTCTGTTTTTGAATCATTATTAATTGAATAATAACCCTATATAATTTAATTTTTTGGCGTCTAAACAAAGATTATATAATGTGAAGTCTATAGTATAACTTATATTATTATACTAACAATAAGTAAGTATATTAGTATTCTAACAATAAGTAAGAATAAGTAATAATACTAATATACTAACTTATAGTCAGAAAACAATAATTGTTATTAATATATAATATAACTATTATTATATATAATAATAATAATTATCATTTTTCTGACGTAAATATAAAAATTAAAAAAAAAGTGGAAAGGAAGGCGTCGTTATGGAAATATGCAAATTCACAAAATAATGCGTGTTTCTTACTTTTCCGTGCTCTGCCTGAAATTTAACATGGCATATTGCAAAAGCGAGTGTTTCCCATCGTTGACAACCGGACCACTCTCATAAATGCTCTCGTCATGCAATCTTCCATTGTCTTCCGGTTGTCGCCATTCTTGATTAGGACTTGTTCGATGATTCTGTTGATTTTTCTGATGATTCGCATGGTTTACCGCAGACACATGATTTGGCACGCGATTCAACGGCATGTGATTTTCATGATTGGAAATAATGTGATTGGTTTGATTGTGAGATTGGACGTGATTCGTTGTCGCGTGATTCGTTTGCAATTGAATAGTTTTTGTAATTTGCGAAACGTGATTTTCATGATGATGATTCGGCTTGTGCTGAGGTTTCTGATCGACCTGTAAATAAAATGAAACATTATATATATGTATATGTAATATAAGTATGACGTATTACATAATAGATTGTAAAGTATATGTATATATATATATATATATATATATATATATATATATACATTATATATATATATATATATATATATATATATATATATATATATAAAGTATATTTTTAATAATACAGATAATAAATATGGTATAACTCGCAAGGATAACTAATAATAGTAGGTATATGATAAAAGAACTAATAAGTATTGCATGGTGAATAAAGTTGTGTATGATAAAATGAAGTATGATAAGCGGTGTGATAACTGGCAGTGTATATGTAAAAAAATGACTGGTAAATACGATGAACAGTACGATAAATCATAATGTAGGTAGATATGGGATAAATCATAACATAAATTACAAGATCAGGGTGATTTTCTTTTCTTTTACTTTCTTTCAGAAGACTCTTCCTTCGCGTGTCTCCGTGCAATTCGAACGAGTTTATCGCGACTCACGAGGTCCTCTCGCATTTCCTTTATACTCTTTTTTGTCGTTTTCATTTCCTTCTTTTCTCTAGTCCTATGTACGGTATCTGATCAGTCTCTTGTGTGAAAAAACACGTTTCCCTTCTAAGTTGATCGGCTCCCTCTAACCGACATGCAACCACATTTCTCAAAGTGTTGCTTTTTTCTTTTTCTTTTTTTTTTTTTTTTTTTTTTTTTTTACGTCGAGAAAGAAACATTGATATACATTAAATCAGCTCATTAATAATAAATTATATAGCTTCTTTCAATCGATTTCTCATAGATTCTTTATGGATCGAATAACAAGCAGCATCTATTTCAAATCTCGTTTGAGTTTTTTCTCTATTTAATCGTAGTTCTTCTTAACGTTCCATGCATTTTCAATGGAATATCTTTCAGGTTTGGATTATTGTATATTGCATAAATCGAAAATGCAATTAAATATCGATTCCTATGGCGAAGGAATCGAACCCCATTCTTGAACGGTCGTTCTATACCCCGATCTGACCTCGATAACTAAATAAAGGGATACCCGGTATACAGATACTTGAAAGCTCGATTCTACTCGTAACAAATATCGGACGTGAGCTCGTATATGTATGTAACAGTATAAGAGCGCGTATATTTGTATGCGGGATAAACAGATGTCGACCCTGACCCACATTATACTGAATGCATCCAGACGGAGATGAGGCTAGACGAGTGTTAACGAATTAATAATAATCTATATGTATAAGTGATCACGTGATGCATGTATGAACATACCTCTAACTTTCTAAGTACTAATGCGAATAATAAGACCTCGGTGTTCGCGGAATTGACGCTTTCGAAAAATGCAGTTTCTAATCCGAGGATGCTAAGTAGTCGTACAATCTCGAAATACCAGTTCCATATCGATGTTACGGCTTTAATGACCGAGTGATATATTAAATAAACTCAATTACTTACTTACTTACATGAATTCGTTGTTTCTCTATTCTTTCTTTTTTTCTTTTCTTTTTTCTTTTTTTTTTTTTTTTTTTTTAATAAAATTATTTGAATAATTCCTTCGATATAAACCGAGATATCAACGACTAGATACATATATTTTTATGTGTTTCACTTCTTCTTTGGCCATGCTACTTATTCGAGATAGGTGCCTCATTCGAGATAATTCGCCTTTCGCACAATCGTGGCGTGGAAACAGTTATCCGACATGATTTATATAAACCATCGAACATTCCTTTCCCCATGTCTTATTTTATTCATCTAGCGGTATGCTTTTTTTTTTATTTTTCTTTCTTTTCTTTTTTCTTTTTTTTTTCTTTAATCTAGAGGATTTCTTGTGGTAAACGTAGAATCGTCACGAAAGAAAGAGGAGCCATTTCTGTCATCTGGCGGGATAATGTACGATTATTTTGACCACTTTTCTGGCGAAGGATAAAAGAAGAAAAAAAGCGAAAAGAGAAAGAGAGATAGGAAGAGGATGTTACAAAAGAAGAAAAATCTTGAAAGGTGAGATCTACACAAGGTCGACTCCTTTGTACACTCCTTGAATTCATAAAAAAGTTGATTTCGTATAGAGTTCGTAAAAATCAATTCAGAGATATCCTTGAATGCTCTTAAGTTTATTTCTTAATGATTGAATGTGAAGCGATTATATGTAAGAATTTTTTGTGATTTATGATATCCCGTAATGTTCTCGTATGACTCTTTCCTTCATTTATCATTTAGCAATGGGAACGATGTTTATTTAATAACAATAATTGTATTGTTGGTTTTAAATGAACTGTTACTTTTTAATATCCATGATTATTACTTTAAAATAATACATATTCAGTATTTTATTTTTTATTAGCAGCGGAACTACACTTTCATTCCCATTACTACTCTCACATTAATTTTCAGACAAATAAAAAAAAAAAAGAAAAAAAAAAAGAAAAAGAAAAGAAAGAAAAAAGAAAAAAAGCCATTAAAAACATTTCAAAGATTGTTGTCTCGAAAGAAAAAGATCAAAGTTGGAATTTCTCTTTTCTATAAACAACATCGTACGATAAAAATACAATCGGAATGCGTTCGTTGATCGGGGACACTCTCAGGTATAAGAAAAAGATTCGACTTTTTTAATCGGTATAGTGACCTGGAAGCTCTTGACCTTCTCATCGAGTTTCTTCAAGGTCTCCTGAATGGTGGTAAGGGTCTTGTCGTTCGACTTTTCCTCGGATGCCTGCTGCATTTCGTTTTGAGTACGAAGTTCCTCGAATCTCTTCAATATTTCACGTACGCTGAGTTTACTTCCATCTGCCGCGTTCTCTTCTGTGATCGTTTCCATCTTGGACATCCTTCGATCGCCGTTCACCCGTGCGATCATTTGCTCGCTATCGTAGAAATCTTGAATGAGTCCGTTGATCCTTAGATCGTCAGTACCGTTTCTCTGGCGATTTGGTGACGGTGTTTGATACTTCCTACCGTCTTCCGCGTTTCTCGCAAAGCTGGGTGACGAGTTTCTCGAGTTTCGAAGTTGACAACCCTCCTCCAGTCTCAGTTGTTCGATCGTCGGCTGAGATTGATTGCGATGCTGCTGCTGCTGCTGCTGCTGCTGCTGCTGCTGCTGATGATCGATTTGCAAAACGTTTTCCGAAATCTTTGTCGGAATTTGATTTAAAAAAGATTTTTGATCGAACTTTGACACGTCGACTCTCGGAATATTTTCATACTCGAATCTTTGTTGATTACCAAAGAAATCCTTTTTCGAGTCCTTACGAATATAATCCAGACACTTTGGACTTTGGCTTAAATTGTTCTTGTTAACGTCCAAATGACTGTACTCCAAAGGTACCGTCGTACCTATATCCTCCGACTTTTTCTTTCGCTTGTTGCAATCGTCTCGAGCAAAGAACTTGATGAAGCCTGTCGTCCTTTGTTCGATCCTCGTACCACGATCAAAGTTCGACGTCTTTTCCAAGAACGCTCCGGAATCATCGGTGTGTCCATACTCGTCGCTGCTCAGATCGGATTCCGAGGATTTCACTAGAAGACTGTCCGGTGAATTCGTTTTACGATCCTCATCCGAAAGACTCTTCAAATCGAATTTATTGGCAAGATTACCAAGGCTCTTTCTATGTTGTCCGAGTTTCGTTTCATGATTCTCGTAATGTCGTCGATAATCTTCGTCCAATCGATTATTATACAAACGATCGGGTGTCGTTCTTCTATCGAGCTTCGTATCGACATTTTTTCCATTTTCATTTACATCGAGCCTTCGTAAAAATTCAGATCTTTTAACGATACGTTGAACGTTATTGAACGAATGCCCGTCGACCTTACGAAATTCACTTTCAGATAATTCCGAAAAGTCGGCGAACTGACTAAGGATTTCTGGTCTGTGCTTTTGACGTCTTCTCAAGGTCGTCGGTAATTCTTCCCAATTTCCGGATAGTCTCCTTGAAAACACGCCCTCTGCGTCGGAAACCTCACGTTCCATCATCGTCCTTGATAATTTTCCTTTTTTTAATTTATTTGAATTCTCTGTTATCCAACATTACGATCTCTTCAGTTTCTTTCAAAAATTCGAAAGACTTTCCAACGTTGATGCATCGCCTTTTTGGAGGAAGCATAGCATTCTATAATAATTTCAGGGATATAAGATAATGCTAAGTTTTTCCTGTTTTTTTTTTTTCATTTTTTTTTTCTACGTTAGAAATATCTCGAATACATCGTGACCCTCGATATTAAATATAGTTGATTTTAAATATATGCAATAGCATCTTCGTGATACTTTCGATAAATTTGTTATGGGCTTTCTCCTTTAATTTATATCATTGAGCGTAAAATCATTTCGATGATAGATGAGAAAATAATTTAACGCAGAAAATACGAGGCCATTTTAAGGTCATTAGAAATCGTCTTCAATGATAGTTCAATAAACGATAGTAATTACATTCTCGTGTACTTGTAAGGTATTTCGTGATTCGACCTATCGAAAGAGAAATATCTATAGGTCTGCGCATAAAAAAGAGTCAACGAAGTGGTTATAGACTTTACGTAACGTTGACCTTACGTAAAATTGATCTTAGAGTTGCCGCTAATAAAAAATATAATTATCGATCGAAGAAATATATTCGTGAATGTATTATTCCTCGTAAAAGGTTCTTCTTTTATATTAATTATAAAAAACTATATAAATGTATTTATATTGAGGAAGTGATAATATTTATATTAATGAGAAAGAAACTAAAAAAGACTTTAAATATCAACAAGACACATTTGTAAAGTAAAACAGACTTTCGATCGTTGAAACACCTTTCTCCTTTGATTTAACTTGTGTTAATCGATGCATGTAGATATATGACATTTAATTCAATGAAAAATAAAATGATAGTACGAACGAAGATAGGAAACTTTTTGATAAATAAATTGTAAAAAGAAGAATCTCAGAAGATATGATATTTTTTTAAGTGCTATCAAATATGATTAATTAATTTATTTATTTATTTTTTTTTATCA